ATTGACCAAAAAAATTGTATTTTCATTATCAACAAATTTTTTATAAAGTTTAGTAATACAACAAAAAATTATTACACTTTGAATAATAATTTACATATATATATATATATGATAACATCTATTATTATTAATTAATTAATTAATTTAGAAATTAATAATATTACTTATATGTTAATTTGATATAACTAACTATAGTTATTATAAAAACAATTCAAACACATAATAATAATAGTCATCAATTTAAAAATAAAAACTATTAGTAGAAGCCATACCCCTATATAATGTATATTAATATTATAATTTAACATACAATATATACTATATATTAATATTATCATTATAACAATAATAAAATTATAGTTACACACACACACACAAACATAAGCATTTTAAAATATTTGCATTGACCCCATAACATATAAATGTTATTTAAAAAATTATTATTAAAACAATTCATAGCCATATATATATATATACTGTATATAATATATAAATTATATACACAATATATAAAGTATATATTTATACAAAATGCTAATACATATTAGCACATTATTAGATAGCTTTTAAAATAAACTCTAAAATAATAGTATTGTAATAATATAGGTAATAATAATAATAATAATAACGATGATGAATATAAATGCCCATTTATTTAATTTAATTATACACTACAATGTTATACTATATACAGTACAATGTTATATAATAAAAATGATAATTTTTTTATTGTATTTTAAAAAAAAATATATAAAGCGCAAACTTATTGGACATATAAAAACTAGATTATATACATATATTTTTAATACAGTCTATATATATCCCAATTATTATAGATAATAATAATAATAATGAAACAAAACAAAAAACAAAACAAAAAAAACTAAAAATTAAAGCGAAAGTGTATTTTACATAATATTTTTTTTTTCGTAATAAATTTGTGTTGAAAATAAAAAACTATAAATATTTAGAACACTATCACTAATGGGCTTATTATAAGATAGAGAGAGAGAAAAAAATGTGATTTTTTAAAAAATAAAATAAAAACTAATATTATATTTAAGTCCTCTATACTACTACTACTACTACTACTACTACTACTACTACAGGTATGCAAAGTTATATACCTGTATTTACTTATATAACATATATATACAGTATAAGTGATATATACTGTATATGTGTGTTAGAAACAGTATAAATATGTTTTTTTATATATAACTTATATATATATAAAACAAGTAGTGTATAATCACTTACAAATGTGTACCCATTTATGGTGGGGACCTATCTATCGATAGTTTAGTGGAGGAATTGTATCACTAATTTAAATTTTTAATGATTTTTTTTTGGTAGAAATATATATATATATAATAATTACTGTACACTAAAAAAAATTTTTTGCATAATATTTCATTTTATTTTGTAATAAGTTGTATATATAATGATATTATACAGTATATACCCGTATATTGTATTAATAAAAATCACTTTTATTTATATATATAAATTTATATATATAAAATAAGTACAGTACATATTTTATTATTATTATTATTATTCATAAAATTTTATATAATCTTAATTTTTTTATGGCTTAATAATATATAACATGAAATATATATATATATAAATAATTTTCTTCCGGTTTTTTTTCTGGTGGATTATTTATGATTATAAAAAAATGAGACTTTATTTTAAAATATATATTATATTTATTTTATTTTATTCAACAACAAAAAATAAATAATTCAACACTAATTGCATCTCATGATAGATAGATACCGAGTGATAGTGAGAGTTAAAACTATTAAAAATTATTATATTTAATATATATATATATTTTTGAGGTAACGATTAATTGGTTTAAATTAATATATATATATAACTTATATTTAATATATGTATACCTTATATATATAACGTTTTTAAATAACAGGAATTTCATTAGGGAAAAGGCGTTTTTACACAAATAATAAAATTAAAAAATTAAAATAATAATAATAATAATAAATAAAAACATAAGTCTATTATTAGGAAATAATAAGTGGAATAAATAATAATAATATTAAGGAAAGAAAATATATATATATATTTAAAACACATATCGAGGAAGTGATCTCAAACTCTCTCTCTCTCTCTCTCTCTCTCTCTCTCTCTCTCTCTCTCTCTCTCTCTCTCTCTCTCTCTCTCTCTCTCTCTCTATTCGCACACTAGTATTACATCATTTTATTTGTAGTTTTTATTATTTAATTATTATTATTTATTATTATTATTTTTTGGTGAAATATATATATATATATATAATTTATTTTTGTAATTTTTTTCTACAAATATTTATTATATATATTTTTTTCAAAAATAACAAAAATCATACAAAAATTATTTATTTAAATATATTTAGTTAAAAAATATAACAAACAATATATACAGTATATATTAATATATACACACATTTAGATAAACATTATAATTTTTTTTTATTTATATTGACCACAATCCTTAAAAAATATAACCTAAATTTTTATAACAATTTATTATTATTGTTATAATAATAATAATAATAATTTTTAATTTCCCGGCTAAGATTAATAACGGCATTTTTTTAAACACAATAAAATACAATATATAACATTCAATATATTTATTGTTAATAATATATATATATATATATATATATATATATATATATATATATATATATACTGTATAAATATTATTTCTAAAAAAAGTGTGCATTTAATAATAATAAAGTGCATAATTTTTTTGACACTTAAATTGTATATCAATCAATTTCAATATATTAAAAAAAATATTTTATATATAAAAAACAATTCAATATTTATATAATTTATATAAATACAGTACACTTGAAAAAAAAATTTATATTGCATTTAACTTTATTATTATTATTATTATTATTGGTTATTGAATGGCAAAAAAGTTATTAATATATATTAATAAATAAATTATAAATATATATATATATATATATATATATATATATATAACTGGTAGTTATTTTGTTGATTTATTTTTGGAAAAATAATTTATTTTTATTATTTTTCACTCAACTCTCAATCGTCGTCTAGTCTATCAAATCAATTTATATGTATATAATTAAATAATTTTTATAAAAAAAATAAATAAATAAAATTATTATATAACCATTTTAATACAAAATAGTATACAATATATAAATATAATATACACTATATATATATACATATAAAAATTTTAATAGGTTTAAATTGTATATAAAATTTATATAAATTTAGGTATACTGTAGTATTTAGTAAAAACATTATTTAATGATTATTTTTTTATTATCATAGATTAGTATATATATATATATAATTTATTCAAATGTTTTCAATAACAATATGTTAATTTATTTTTGTTTTTTTGTTGCATATATTAATATACAGTATAATAAAATTATATAATAGTAACAATACAGTGTATAATACAGTATATATTATTTTATAAACATTTATATAATTTGGATACAAATTAGTCAATAACTATACAATTGATTTGTGCAAATATTTTAGTTTAGTTTATATATATATATAAATAAAAAATAATTTTATTAAATAGCAATTAATCTAATTATAAAACATTGACATATACTGTATAACAACACACTGGGGAAAACAAAATTATTACTGTATTAATAAATAATGTAATTTTGGTAACATTTAAGTAAAATTTTTAAAAATTTTATTGCCCAAAAATAATTTCAAGTTATGTTGAACACCACAACTATATATATATATATTTATATATATAATTATAAATTATTATATAATTTATTGCCAATATTTGTTGCCAATTAAACCAACAAACAAACAAAAAAATGAAAATTAAATTTCTATTTGAATTTATTACTAATTTTATTATTATTATTATTATTAGTTAGTTATTTAAATGTTCTAATTATTGTAAATTAATTCCCAAATTCATTGTAAAAATTCACATTTAAAAAAAAATCATATCAAATAATAATAATAATCATAAAAAACAATTATATATATATATATATATATATATATATATATATATATATATATATATATATATATATATACAGTATAGGTAAGTATTTATAACTTTTTAAAAATATTGATAAATAGATATACACACAGAGTTATTATTTATTATTATTATTATATAATAAAAAAACAAAATTAAAAATTATATATAAATATCATAAATATTTATCATTAAAAAAAACAGACAAACAAACAAACAACAAAAAACATGATTAATGAATACAAATACTGTTTAGTTAATGAGTATATAATAATAATAATAATAATCACATATATAATTATTTACAAATATTTTTTATATATATATATATGTATATGTATACTATTTATATAATATTTAAACTAACAATAAAAAATACCAGTTTATAAATGTTATATAAATTTAAATATATATATATATAAATATAATATATTGCTAATCAATTATTTGCTGTTTTTTTCTCTCTCTCTCTCTATAAAATCAATGATTAAATGGTATAACTAATGTATATACAGTATATATATTGCTAATAATAATAATAATTAAGTATACATTATATAGGTATATATATATGATATATTGCAAAATTTTTTTTTGTTAAAAAAATCTATTGGTGTTTAACATCTATACCCACACACACACACATACATATAAAATTAATTGTAGTATAAGATATAATAATAATAATATTATTATTATTACTAATAAATCATTTAAATATTATATGTTATGTAAAACTATATCATATCGATAACTACATTAAATATGTATTTATATATATATATATCATATACAGTATAAATAGTATATACAGTATATATATATATACCGTAATTATCACAATATTGCAATTTAACCAACAAATAAAAAAATTGTTACTTAAGTACCAGTAATTAGTTATTTGATATTTTTTGTTTTGTTGTTTTTTTTAAATATATAATTATAGTTACAATAATATATATCCCCTAATTATGCGGAGCTCTATAGCCCTTCATATAGGATATCCAACGTTTGGCTGTCGACTGAAATAGCGGATTGTTTTCAATGGTATTCAAAAACAATAGCTGATTGATATGTGTGGAGTGATAGTCCCAACGGGCTCTGTTAGGCGGTGATCCCAGTGCCAGATGTCTCAAGTCGTACAGCGAACCCGAACCAGTATCATACATGGGTAACATTGATTGCAACGATTGTATGCCCTGTCTGTATAGACGGCCGGCTTTCTGGCCGTATGTATCGTTAGCTGCGGTTACCGACGACAGGTCGTACAGACCGAACAGCGAGTATATGAAACCGTTTAATACGTAAATACTGGGAACAGTCGGATACTCTTCGAACCATAAATATTTGTCGCCCAAAAATCGGGTCCGAAATCCATTGTCCCGGACATCGACATCAAATAAATTCAGGGCTTGTTTAGCACAATTCAAGTACCTGTCCTGACCGGTATGCTTATATAGGCGTACCAGTAGGCTAATAGCTTGTCCCTGAGCCATAGCACTGTACCAACCGGTTTTCAATTGCAGGGCACCGTTAGATAGTTTACGATTGACTTTAATACTGAAACCGCCGTTCGGTTGCTGATTAGCCAGAAACCAATTGCCGGCAGTTATGGCCATTAATTCGTGTGCGGACGACATTAGTCTAATGTTGGCCAACAAGGCTGAACCGGACATTTCCAGCCGAATCAGACGCAAATGTTTGATGCCTTTGACCGCCGCCGCCGCTGATCTCTTGTCGGCCATATTCTGACCTTTTTGTAAGTCAATACCGATATCTCTGGTCAACGATGACCACTGGCCACTGCGGCTTTGATTACTGTTGTTGTTGTTCTTGTTGTTGTTGATAGCGTAGAATATTTCATTAGATGACACCATTATATCGTCATCGATGGTTGTCGTATAGATAAGCGAATAGTCTTTCAATTGATTACTAATGTTAACTCTTAGGATAGCTTTAAGCGAAAAGTTGGCCAACGGTTTGACATCGAAAGCCAGTATTAATAAGTTATTATTAGTTGTTTGACTCTTTTGTTTCAATTTCATAACAATATTTTGGCCATCAATTAGTAATACTTTCCGATTAGGATCTTCTTCGGCAACAATACGCTTGAAGACAGCCGTCCGCGGAATCAAATAGTTAACAGCTTTTCGATTGAACGCAATGCCCGAATCGAGATCAAGTGTTTGCGGCGGTTGCTGTTTGCCGCCGTCGACGGTATCATCGGCGGCCACCAATAGACGTGACCAATGGCTTAGGCCGAACTGTGCAATCTGTATGGGATAGTAGTGTCCGCTGGACAGCCATTGAGTGGATATGGGAACACCTGTACGAGCGGAAACACATCGGACACGATCGCGTACTTCGACATTATAGTTGTCAAACCAGAGAAACTGTCCGCTCGGGTCGTACCGTGTTTTCGGTAAATATACTTTCGAATAGCTATGACTCCATTCGAAGACATCTTTGCCGTTAGTTTTGTCTTTCGTTAGTTTGCCGTCGATTTCAAAGTACTTATGAATGAATGCAAACGGTATGTAAACTTCGGTGTCTTTGTGGTCGTCACCGCCACCACCACCGCCGCCGCCGTCGATACTTCTGATGCACTTCAAGTCATATTCATTGTTGATAATACAGTCGATAGCTTGGAAGCGCTTATAGTGTTGTTGATGATGATTGCGATGACTATTGGCCGCCACATCGGTATAGTCTACCAGACGATTATCGTTGTTGTTGTCGGCGGCGGCCAACGGTAGTGGCCGTGTCGTCGTCGGCCAATTGGTATTGCGACTCAATAGCAATCGGCGATATGTCGGCGTGTGTCTGGTGTACGTAAACCATGTAAATATGGTTACAATACTTATTGTGGCGCCGATTAACACCAGAAGACATTTGCGATGAAATTTCATTGTCCGGCGCGTTGTTGTCCAAACAGTCGGGCCAACTTCGGGCCATAGATGATGTCTGGAGATTTTATTGACCATTCAGGTGGTCATTGATGGTGGACGGCATGATACGACACAATCGGTAAACTTTTTGGTCGGCACCGGTAGTCTAATGGAGACAATCTAGTGAACAGATGGTGGTATGTATTGCTTTATAAACGATTGATTGATTGATTCAACTAAACGATTGTCAATATTATTGTTTATGTGAACATCACGTGTGTATGTAAATAGCATTAGCCATCAATAACGTCAACACAATTGTATGCCCCCATCAATAACCAAATGTATTGAATACTGTATACAATGTAGTGTAGTAAATACATACACACATACATACATACACATACATAGACACACATACACACACACACACACACACACACATACATACACATAAACATACATACATACACATACATAGACACACATACATACACACACACATACACACACACACACACACACACATACATACACATAAACATACATACATACACATACATAGACACACATACAT